TGTTTACAGACATGCCTTTCCAACCTATTTCCTTGTTTTGGCTTCCATGCTCCAAGGGTTAAGACCCTAGCTCTCACGCCTGCATTTTCTGTCGGGGTCCTGGGGTATTTTTGTTTGGGGATGTTTTAGGAGGCATGCAGGACTGGGGGGGATCCGCAACAGCGGGAAGGCCGCGAGGGGGGGGGCGGGGGGGGGGGGGGGGAAGTGTAGTGTCTTTGCCGGCCTTAGATAGAAATGTTACAAAAGAATCTTATTTGAAAATAACATTTTTATTATCAATAGTGTTGATAATAAAAACTGCCGGGCAGCAATCCTCCCCCGACGGCGGCCGGCGCTGTCCCCCGCTGAGCGTTGCGGAGAGCCGTGGAGGGAGCTAGCCTCTACTCCCACCCGCGGAACGGAAAGGTGCGGAGAGGCACTGAGCGGGGCTGCCCCCACGCTGATCGGCCCCGGCTCCGGAGCGTCCGCTGCGCCTTTAGCACTAATATTGCTATTTTTTTTTTAATTATTTTTGCTTTAGCTGCCTCTGGCCCCGTGAAAACCTGGATCCCTTCTCTGCCCCCACCTCCACCCCCTCAGCCTCTCCTCTGCGGCCGGGATGGAAAGAGTTTTCCTGGGGTGAGATATTCGGTGCCAGTATCCCGATCCCCCCATATCAGATGCGCTTCGGACAACTCTCCGGGCCGGACACGGCCTTTCCCGGTCGCCGTCGCTTCTCTACGACCCACATCCCTGTGCTATTTAAACCCTGCTCTCCGCATCCCTGCGCTCCACTTTCCTGCGCTCTGCATCCCTGCGCGCCGCTTCCTTGCGCCCCGCTTCCCTGCGCTCCCGCATCCCTGCGCCCCACATCCCTATTTCACATTCCTGCGTTCCCGCTTCCTTGCGCTCCCGTATCCCTGCATTCTAGCGACCCCGAGCTCCGCTTCCCGGCTCTCCCGCGGCCGCTTCCCACCGCCTCCTCCCGTCCAGCGCTCACTGATCCTGCGGAGGGTGGGCGATAAGTTGTTCCACAGTTACAGAGCACTTGATTATCAGTTTCCAGCAACAGCTGTGTATATTCGCCAAGAATGTAAAGAAATATCAGAAGATAACGCAGCATTGCTATTTATTACCCTGCAATTAAAGTGCTTCTATTCTAAAACCTTATTTGCAAGGGTTTGTAACTCACAGGCAGAATTTTCCTGCAAGATGAAGCCTCGAACAGCAGTCCGAATAATTTTAAGTCTTTCAGTTGAATAAGGGTTAGCCTATTAGAAGGTAAAATTCTCAAGGACTTTCATTAAGGTGCTCATTTACATCTGTAAATAAAAAATTGGGAAATCCCCCAAATCAAGGAGATATAAAAGGAAAATATTTTTTCACAAAATCAAGGATTCACGGAAAGGTTTTAATATAATCCTCTAGGAAATTATTCCCATTAAAACAATTTGTTTGAAAGAAAATGCCCTCCGGTCTTTTCCACACAAACTAGTCTTGGGCTAGTACATGAGAAAGAAACTTAAAAGTGACTATGAACAGAAATGAGACTGGCTAATTCATTTCAACTGTCCTTACTGGAATAAAAACCAGAGGAAACAGCTTGAACAGGGAAAGGTGAATTTAATTTTCAAGGCCCTTTAACTTCTAATAATCTGAGCAACAAGATGGGAGGTACATTCTACCCTCCCAGTTATCCCGATATAAATTCATTCAAGATTTATATTGGTGTAATAGAGAAGCAGAATTTGCTCCATGATTTCTAATGAACTGCTGGCTCGGTCTTTAAAAATGCAATTAGAAAAATCTAGCCTCCTAATTCAGAACAGCTTTGAGCCAAGTCAGAGGTCTCAATGCTGTGAACACGGATGGAAGCTGATCTGTACCGTGGCTCCTCGTGGTGCCTGCAGCACGACCAGAGCGGGGCCAAGACTGCTGGAAAGCTTTGCTACAAAATTCCCTAGTTATTTTAGGATTTTCTTTTCTATTATAAGGGAAAAGACAATCCTCATGTGGAATAAACCCTTGTTTCCTGTGATCTCGAATACTAAGACAAAAGGATTGTAGGATTAGGTGCCTGGCCTGTTACTGAAGAAGGAGGCAAGGAGCTGTCTGGTCAGAGTGCTGCCTGGTGAGTGTGGCAAGAGCTGGGAAAACCCATTCGGCTTTCACTCTGTGCTAAAACTTGTACCAAAGCACCTGCAGTTGCTGTGTCAGTGCAGGGGAAACATCATCAAATACAAAAGTAAGTCAAGATCTCTCATTTTACTCATAAGATTAGGTCTCTACATTAATTGCTTACTCGTGTATAGGAACAACAGGACAGAGATCCTCATTTGTCTGACCTTTTGAAGTGAAGGCTTTAAATGAAGCAGTGCCTAGTAGCTGTCTCATTTGATCTTCAGAAACTGTGAGGCAAAACTTCCTCAGGTTGTTTCAGTTTACAGTAGGCTGGTGGGAGGAAGGTTGCCTCGGGGAAGTATCAACTCCAACTACCTGGAAGACCTACATCACCCTCCTAACTGAGCACCCTGAAAGAGACCAGGCCAACCTGAAGGTCCTCAGAGCAGGAAGGACATTTTCACCCTTGCTCTAGAGCAGCTGCAATTCTTCGCTGAGAATCTAAAGGAACACCAGAAGATAAAGCAGCACTGCTATTTGTCACCTGCAGTTAAAGCTCTTGCAGCTTTCCTATTATGGAATATTATTTGCAAGGGTTTGTAACATCCATCACCAATCAGTAAGTCAAGCAAGGCAGAGCCCCACCTCACCAAGGAGCTGGGCAAGACCTCCTTTGGCCATGGGCTTTATCAGGGTGTGCACTGAGGACAGCAGGAGTCTTCAGCTCAAAACCACAGAGCTGTGGTGTATAGAGTCTGTACACCACAAGCCCTAGCGCAATGTTACAGCATTTCCTTTTTTCCTTTTATCTCTTTGGGGAATGACTCACCATGTAACTCGAACCGATTTGCTTTAATTGGACCATGCCTCAGTTTCCCAATCAGTAAAGACACAAAAAAACTCCAAATTGCTCTTGCTGGTGCAAGGTGTGGTAACATCAATGAGCATTCATGATATACTCTGGCAAGACAGAGGCAGTCTGGTAAAAATGCAAGGCAGTCCTGTTACTTGGTCGTACCAAAAATGACCCCCACACCTATCCACGCTGTCTTGAGAAGACCACTTCTACTCAACCATGTTAAATGCCTAGAGCCAAGCTGGGCTTTGGTTGAGCAGAAATAAGGAGGAACCATTGTACAAGACAGATGACTAAGGCAAAATGACAACTCTGCAATGCTAGGAAAACACGTGAACACTTACCATTGGATCTCCCTTTTTTTGATTTTGATTAATGAAGTAATTTTGAAGAGAGGTACTACATGCACTCTCTCATGCTGAAAAAGGACATTTCAACATTTTAATGGCATCAGAAGACACGACAGCACGTGTGCAGAGAGGGCCAACTCATGCCTGTCACCTGCTGTGGACAGTGCTCGGGCAAAGGAAAGATGCTGGTGTCGACTGCTGGATGACAGCTTGATGGGATGAGGATAGGCACCTTCTCTCCCTGCCTGATACAAGGGAAGCTGAAACCATACCTGTCTACAAAGAGATGTCTTCCCAGGCTTCACAATGTAATGTTTTACCAAGAGCCGCCTTCTTGCTTCTTCCCCGAGCAGAGCTGAAAATCTTGGTATTGTCGTAACATTTTATTATCACTTGCAAAACAGATTCTACTTCATCAGATAAAGACACGATTGCATTCATTGACTCTGACACAAGGATATGCATAGTGATAAACATACAGATAGATGTACACACTTACACATGAATAAGATATGCTAATTAAAAATTGCAGTGGGCACTTTATTAAAAATTTATTGTACAATCTACAGCTTCAAAACATTTTACATCAACAAATATACCAGCTTGACTGCTGGAATCATAAGTGATTTATCTTTAAAAGACTGTATTTGCAACTGGATGCAAAGATTCTTGATGAACTGCCATTACATTTAAACTACTGGTTTTTATTGGAAGTATTTTGATTGTTATCTGTTTGTTCTCCATCCTTGAGAGAAATAAAACAAGTGTCTTGGCTTTCATTTAATCGGATAGATGGCACCATGTAGCATATTTCCCATGCTAGTCTGAATTACAGCTGTTTATCTTTCAGCTTTCTTTAAGATTAATTAAATGCAAATGTAACTCCATGAATCATGGGATTACCTGCCAGACCCCTTATTAATACCTTCACTTAAAAACCCTTGTGCCAGAGAGCCATTAATTTGGAAAAAAAAAAAAAAAATAGAGAGAAAAGAAAAAAAAAAAAGAGTGCTAAAGCAGCCCTTTGCCTCCAAACAACCCGGACATGGCTGCCCAATTAGTCCAGCAGCATTCGGATCCTCCTTTCAGGCCCTGTGGCCCTTTGAGGACACAATAAGGCTCCAATGATAACCTGGCAACCTAGGTAGAAATTCAGCCAAGTGTGAGCGTTTGAAGCTGCAGCTTGGCTGCCATCGTGTCGGCGAAAAGAAAGAATTCAGGCACCATGTCATCCAGTACAAAGGATAAAAACAGATTCAACCGGAAATTCAATGTGGCACCACATATGGGATACATGAGTGCGGTTACACAACAGGCCACATATTTTTTTTGAACAGTCTCCTGCATGTGATGCCGAGGACATGTGTAACCATCATAACATCTCTAAGAATCTGTATTTAATTTGAGCTGGGGTGGTGGCAGGGATTGGAGATCTGAAGCCGCCACAGGTTTGTGGCAGATGGCTCTGTGTCAGCTATGACAAGCAGCCAGGCTCGGCTTCCTCTGCAGATTTTCTTTTCTCTCTGATCAGGTAAATATGGGCACACTCTGGAAACTTCCACAATTCTGCCTGAGGCTGCAAGTTTGTGACTTAGCCCCATCTGTCACAAATCTTCCCTCGGTTCTGCTGCAAGCAGAGACCTGAATTTACTGCCGAGCACTGCCCAAGAAAACCCAGCCGTCTCGCCCTACAAGGAAGCAGAAGAGAGAAGTGCACAAAGCCGCATTAGATGCTGGGACACAAAAGGGACGTCTCTTGTGTGGGAAGGAATGCAGCTCTGTGCTAAAATCCTTTGCAACACCCAGAATTTCAGGAGGGGTGGAAGCAAGTTGGTCAGAGAACGCTTAAGCGGCATTATGTAGAAATGGGGGTGAATTCAGCTTTTTTTTTTTTTAAAGACAGGTAAAGACAGGTCAGCAGCCCCAGGTTATTTGCTCCTGGATGAGCACCATCAAACATCCATTTCCTTTACTGGTGGTCTCAGCAGATGCACCAAGGACTGGACACCTGAGGTGACTGACCTACCCCTCTCACCCTCAGACATTGCAGAAGCACAAACCACCAGCAGTGAGGGCCTAATTCTCCTGCTTGATCATCATCAGTCTTGCTATTGGGATTTATTTTAGAGTTACCTTGGAGTGAACAAATTCAACTCCATTTTTTGGGAAGTCTGCAAAAGTCTGGGCATTCATTTTTTTTAAGGAACAGTGATTCAGTCAACAGTTCCTACGTATGGCGAGATCAAGCGAAGCAAAGTTTTCACATAAAGTCTCCCCATGAAGAACAGGCAGCATAATAATAGTATGTCAGCAGCACTACAATATCTTTTATAAAATAATCAACTTGATTGTATCTTATGTCCTAAGAGCCTAACCATAAGCAACTATCATCTATTCTGACATCATTAGACTACAGAATTAACTTTTAGAATTTCATAATGACTGGTCATCCATTCAGATCTATTGTTTCAGAACTGCTGGAGTTCAAGCAGAAAGTACTGATTTGGCATAAATTTTATGCACTTTAAAAAAAATTACTTTAACAAAATTTCAGAATTAGAAACTGTTATTCAGCACAACACCTGAAATTGGCAGGCAAGAAAGCAGAGTGATTGACGGAGCCAATTTTATTGGGTCAGCTTTATTCTATGACTCAAATCCTTCCCTCTGTAAGTGAATACTGGGGAGAAATCAAGGTGGAAAGCAGGTTGTAGTAATTATTTTTGGAGCTCAACTTTCAAAATCCAAGCACCTTTGGAAACCACCATCAAAAGACAGCATTAGTTTACATGAATTGGGTACACTGTGAGGCCCAAGTCAGAGCTATATAATACTCCTTGGTAGAGTAATGGTATTTCCCTGAATAAATTGGTCTGTTCTGCAGTTTCTTATGCTTGTGTTTTAAAACTCATTTCATTCTTTCTGTCTTTAAACAAAAATCATCAAATGTTGGATGCAAGGCTACACAAGATAAGTTGGTGGGTACCTTGCACAGTTGGTTCAGAGCACACCGACAAAGTACAGCAGTAGGAAAACAGTTTCAAGCTTCCTTTCTCAAGGTAATTTGAATAAAATATATTGAAAACCTAAGTTTTCATGCTTTTTGCAACTTTTCTTTCGAAGTCAATCCTATTTCCTTTGATCAGTTTTCCCACCTATCATTTTGCAGTGGCTGTGGTTCATCTGCCAGTTTTAATTTACTTTTTAAAACTAAATTGGAAGCTATCTAATACTGTTATAATAAGAAGTTCAAAGTCCTGGTGTTTATGCTGAAAGATGGGTCTGTAACTGCTATTTAATGAATGCTTTTTTTTAATGCCTGCTTTACAAGTACAGCCAGCTACAGACCAACATCTTCAGAGAACTGAAATCTTGTAGACACAAACCTCAGAGAGACAAGAGAAAGGCAAGCCCTGGGAGAGGGCCGGGTGCAGGCCACATAGATATATATATGCATACTTACATATATGTATACATACACATATATTGTATCTATATATGAATGGCTGGACCCTAGAATAACCTAGCAGGTGATTTCAGCAGCCTACCTATTAGCTCATTTCTTCCACAGTGGTAGTTCACATTAGCTAAGAGACCTCTCTCTACCATGGCTGCTTCCAGACCCATACGCTGCTTAAAGACCTAAGGTTGCCCAAAATACTGAAACTGTGTCCTGCAGTCCAGCAGGTCTTCCAACCTGTGCAAACCTCCTAGGCTAGATGGGTTTCACCTATATCAGCCATACATTTGGGAATGAAAAATGGCAAGTCTAACCTGGATGCGACCCTGAACAACTTAATCCAAACTTGAAGTTAGATCCTACTTGGAAGCTGGCCCTGCTTTCAGCAAAGGCTAAGCAGATGACCTCCTGACTTCCTTAATTACTCTATGATTTTATATTCTAAATAAGTAACCAAAGTTTTCTTTCACATAAGAAATCCTTACGTTACATACATTTACTTAGGATCCCATGCCTAAGCACTGAGACAGAGATGGGAAAGCATGGACACAGCATGCTGCAATCCAGAATTCCCAGGCTATGATAACCTTTCAATTCGGGCTCTGAGAAGCGGATCTAGACCATCTCTGAAACCACTTTAAATTACGCTTACTGGAAACCAAGCATCTCAAGAGGCAAATACAAGTTTCCCACTTGTGCTTCCAACCTCCTTTTGACCAGTGCCTAATGCTAGGCAAGTAGAAACACAGATTTGACACAATGCCATCTTCTTCATCTGCAATCATGCTCTGCTGATGAACAGAAAGACAGCAGGATGGATGGAAATACTTGTACTATTTGCATATCCTATAAAGCTCTAAATTAACTTTACCAGCTCAGGACAAAAGATCTGGAGAACACTGTAAGCAAACATCTGTTCAATATATATTCACCATTAAAAAGTAAACAGTAGGTTTGGTTCCATAAGGAACAGGTTGAAAATTATCAGAGTACTGCACATAACATAAACTGATGGCATGGCCTAGAATACTCTGTAAGGCAATGATCACACCAGCACAAAACCAGCTCTCAAGCATCAAACCAGCTTGAATGATTAGATCTTGGAATAGCATTCACAAGGAGAGCCTGAAAAGACCAGGGCATTTTAAGTGTTTGACAAATGTTTATAAAATAATGAATGGTATAGAAAAGATGGATGGGGAGCTTCTGCTTCCAGGCAACTAACTCCAGAACAAGAAGACAGAAGATGCTCAACGCAACTGAAGGTGGGGAAACTCTGAGCTAATTGAAGGAAATGCTTTTAGTGCTGTCTGCAAAAATATGGTGAACTGCTTTGGTATAGGAAGATGTGAAAGACAAGATTAGGCGTTTCCAAGAGCCTGAATGTCAAATGGAGAACTATTATGTACAGCTTATTAGGTTTTATGTACTTAATACTAAAAGGCTATGAAAGATGATAAAATCTCCATGTTCAGGGTTAGAACCAATCTCTGACTCTAAAACACCTAATTTTACCTGTGTCAGCCTTCTCCCAAATATCTCAAATATCATAACCATAGTATTAAACACATGGCACAGCGATCCAGAGCATCTTTATCAAAAAACAATTTCTCCTGGAGTTTTTCAGGGGGATGGGTAAGGATAAAGGCAGAGGCATTGCTCCCGCTCTTACATGACCTGTACAAGAACTATGAATGGCTACTGCTCTTTGTAAGAGGGCCGAGTGGCCAACAGGACATCTGGCATGAAGCTTGCCTGCATCCTCATGTGCTCTTAGGCTGAGATTGCCTCCTGCTGCTTTCCTAGCTATGTCTTACTATTAAAGCTGCACCAGGAGCAGTTTTCCTTTCTACATATTTTCCTGAAATACCAAAAATACTGCTTTATCTCAAATCAGAGCAAAAAGAGAGGTAAAAAAAAAAAAAAAAGAAAAAGTTTTGTTAGAAGTGCCCTATACAGCCGAATCCTGAGACTGGAAACAATTCAGATGTCTACGGTCTAACTGGGATCTTAATTTGATTTTACAGCAGTTTAATCCCTTTGAATTCAGCAGACTTCCTTCTACAGTGGTGTAAGAAAGAAAAAAAAAATCACGCCATGTGTCTTTTCATAGGCAGGTGAGCTTCTGCAGTGTGATGGAAATGAGAAGATGAATGTCAGAAAGTGGGCCAAATTCTTTTCTCCGTTGAACAAGTATGAGTGAGAGTAGGATTTTTCTGTAGGAACTGAAGCTGACAGCATGTCAACCCGCACTCATTCAGCTGGGAGGGCTGGGAGAGATTATTTAAAGTTGTCAGCTCCTTCCATGCCTGGCTTTTGGCAACTCTTCTTGTCCCTTTCCACTGTATACTCTTTATACATGCTGTTTTAAATTAGGAAACTGAAGTGAGGGAACTGAAAGGTAAACTTAAAGAAAATAATGCAGAAACAAATGTTTTGCCATATTTTTTTTTTTTTTAAATTTTAAATCTATTAGATAGGGAGCTTGCAAACTGTGACAGGTCCTACAGTGTACTCCATGGGAAACTGATGCCCTGTTGTTCCTCGCTTAATTCTGGAGTTCTGGGAACTGCAAATATCCAGAACAGGAGAGAAATATCTGATTCCCTAAAACTGGAACAGAACAAATAATTGATAACAAATAAGGTTTGTTTTCCACTCATCTCAATCTTCTGCTAATAACTGGTAGAAGGCAACATCAAAATGCAAATGAGGCAGTGCTGGAGCTCTGAGAATACACAGGGTGAGTAATACATCATTTTGAAAGGTTTTCATAGGTGCTCATATTATGGACATTTTTAAAAGTCTGCCACCATGAATATGCTCCAGACATTATGGTTTAATATCTTGGTCTGTGCATTTTCACAGGGATATTCTCTGTGTCTGCCTCCCTGAACTGACTGTCCTTCTTGTCGTTTATCTCCCTTTTGCCTCTTTGTCAGCACAGTCACTGAAGAAAACTGAAGGAATAAACTGCTTGTTTAATTAGACCACTGTCTAATTATTATGGATATCCTTCATAATAAAACCCCAACAATATGTAAAAGGATAAGCGAAAGTACTTCTGATGATGATTGCTTCCCAATCTATGAAGCAGAATCCCCAATCAGTAGAGAAAAGCACAATTTGCTTTTAAAGCATTTTGCTCTCAAGACTTCACAGATACTTTATGAACTTCAAGAAACGAGTATGTTAGGAAGGTTTCTGAAAGAAAAGTATCTAGTTTGTATGTACTACTGTACTGGGGTCTCTTTTCTATTCTACTATAATGTAATTATAATATTATACTGATCTAAAAAAGGTGAAAATCCAGTGGAAGTGCTGTGTACTCTTCGTGATTTCATTCTTTTCAGCTTCCTAAGAAGCAACATCGTTCCAACTATAATGACATTAACAGCACATATCTGAGTGAGTGTCATTCTAGGAGGTTTTGCGCAAAACGAAGACTTTGCGTACGTGGGTGTAGGTACAAAAAAGACAACTCTAAGAGTATTCTCTGAGCTGATCCAAAGCCTATTAAAGACAACAGGATCTTTTCTCTGGTGCTCACAGGTTCTGGATTAGGCCCTGCTTTACTCATTTGAAAACGATCCCCCATTCAGCGTAATTGCTACCTGTTGCAGACATTCAGTTCAAACACGCAGGAACAGGGCTGTGCTGTTAATAGTGCACAAGGCCATATGCACGGGGCAAGATAAAAACCTCAAGCTTCTGCCTGCAAATCATCTCAAGGGCTTTTTTTTTTTAAAGGAGAAAAATCCCTCAAGCAAATCAGCATTTTGCTTACAAGTCTTGTGCACATATTTTAAACTCATATTGTTTTATATTATCATTTGCTCCACTGTTATTTTCACTTTCAGTGCACCTTGGATGTTTCAGAGCCGGGGATCCACATGCAGTGAGCAGATCCATGTGCACACAGCTACTAGCTGAGCTTGAAGCACTGAGAAATGTCAAGGTAAACATTTAAGGACTGTTCTCCCTTTGAAGCCACCATGTATCACTATACGATACTATTGACTGAAGAAGTAATGCTGAACACTGGAAGTGTTCAGTCAGCATTTTAAACTATTATGAGCTACCTTCTGAACCATTGCCAAGTTAATAGACAATGAAAGATAATGAGCTTGAAATTGGGTGTTAAATTGCATTTTTGGTTCTCTCTTTTTTTTCCTGAAGTTTAACTGTTTCCTGCAGAAACAACATCATCTTTGATGTATCATTATGTAAATGTCTATTTTTAGGTCACAAATAAAGTCAGGCATGGGCTAAACCCTAACTCCTCCTGCTCCATGTGTGTGGGAAGGAGTAAAGAGGAGGGCAACACACAGCAAGACCCAAACTTTCTGGTCTACAGAGGGAGGAAGGTGGAAAGCGGAGGTTAGGTCTGTCAGCAGCATGAGCCTCCACATTAAGAAGATTACTCCACGTGCTCATTAACAGTATGCCTGGGCAGTGACATACAGGGAACACTAAAAAGACCTCATTTGTATTCCACAGGCAACATGAAGAGTATTTCTATGCATTCCCAAACCTTCAAGGACTTTCAGCTGAATTCGGCTTTTTTACAACCTGAAACACCTTTGTCGTGTGGGGTAATGTGTATCCAACCTGCCCAGACTGTAAAAGTCATAAAATGCTGCAAACATATATCAGCATGAAGAAAATTAATAGCAGGTATTTTTATAAAAGCAGCATCATATAATAATAGCTCTTCATTGTCAGAATTTACTGCTTCACCTACGATTGTTAATTTATTTTTTTTTAAGTGTGACTCCTAGCAGCATAAATACACTACTTAAAAATGTGAAAAGTGGATCTAGCATTGAACACTAGATCAAAAGTTGGAGAGTCTGCTACTGAAGCTGTACTTTCTTTTCATAAATAACTGCAAAGAATAGGACATGATAAATACCAGTACACTATGCTTCCGATAAAGTTTTTTTTTATGCTCAACGTAAACACAAAGAGTTAGAATAACTGTAATTATGAAATAATTCAAATAACTCCAAAAGGCAAAGAAATCTTACTGATACCTGTTACTTGTATTTTTTGAGGATTGAAGATTAAATTAGGATAGGAAGGTAAGCTTATACTCATTAGTATAATTGTGGGATCTTTCTTTTATTTTCCTTTTAAACTAATGAGTTGCATTAATCCAGGTTCATTTTTATAAGCCTCTTGGGTGCAAATGTAAAGGACAGTCATTTTAGAAAACAATAAATTAAAAAAAGCATGTAGCATGCAATAAGTGCACGTATTTCATAAGACCTAGGTTAATACAACTGGCATCTATTTTAATTAATCCTTGTTAGTGTAACGACTAATATCCCTCCCTAGCATGTTTCCTTTAAACATTAGTATGTTAATTAAATGTTGTTTTTTTTAAGGGCTTTTTTTTCCTTTGTACTTCAATATGGCATTATATCATCTAAAACTATTCTGAACAACTACCTTATAAAGATGTTTCCTCACAATATCGGGTCTCTTGCAGAAATTCTGAAGCCTCTTAAAAAGCTGTTCAGGTGTAGAATACAGATATTCAGCTGCAGGAAAAACAGATACATTTTTAATGAAACAAAAACCTCAAAGCACACACTCGATATTAGTCACTTTACTAATTAAAAATGCATATTGCTCTGTGCCGCCTCGTGTTTTACATTATTTAAGCATGATTTTATAAGGTTACCTCAGCTCACAAGGATGTTTAATGCTAAATAAGACTGTGTAGTTGTGCTGTTTAGACATCTCCTTTGGGTGATTAAAATACATTATTCTAATGTAACACAATGCATATGTGATACATTTAGTGATGAGATTTTTCAAAGAACTGGTACTACATTAGTGCACATCCTGTATCACAGTTGCATACTATTAAGTATTAAATTGTTTAAATAATTTGGTGTGATTTTCAGGCCTTGCTGGTTTGGTGGTTTTTTGCTGTGTTTTTTTTTTTTTTTTTTTTTTTTGTATCAAAAAAATCTGCAAACCATTGCAGCATCACTGACCTTTTAACAAAAATCTATCATTATGGGTTGTGTATGCTAACAATGAAGAATGCTATTTCAAAACTTGCTTTTGTGTTATCTTAAAAGAACAGATGGCAAATATAAACTTTGTCTAATGTATTAAAACACATAAAATTTTCCTTAACACTAACATGTTGGCTTGCCAAATAAACAATTGCTTTTGCACAAGTTTAGTCTCAAACTCTGTATTTTAGCATGAATCACGTTATTACACTTCAGCAAAAAGAATATGCAACAAAGCAGCTACCTGGAAATATCTCTGGGTACACCAAGGCTTTGGGACACAGCGGATAACAGCCACAATATACAGCTTCAACCCTGAAGATCAGAAACAATAAATACATAAAAATAGACATTAGTGAGACAAAAACTTATTTTGGTGCAAGAGCATTGAGGTTGACAACATATAGCAAGAGTGAAGCATTTTTCTTCAGCAGCATAATCCTTCTAAATGCCAAAGTTGCTCTTTTTAAAGAAAATTTTATTGATCATATGAATTACACAGAACAGAACAGCGAGCATATGTTTTGTTCGCTGAATAAATCAAAGCGCAGCTCTGCATTTTTTTGTTTTTTAAATACTGTTTAACACATTTTATAATCAGCAGACAGACACATGTAACAACACGGTGAAGTATGGACGGCTTTTCTTAATAATGCTGCAGAAAAACAAGGGCATACATGCACATGTTTGGAGATACGTGGATGTATACACAGATGCATGCCATCACCATTACCTGACAGAACAGATATTCTCCTCAGACTTTGAGACTCCAAAGGTTACAGTTAAATATAGCCTAGGAACAACTTACAGCATGCTTCAGGCTGGGATATTTTAGCTTATGCACATGCTTCAGATAATTTCCTTTATTTTTCAGGACATAAACTGTTGTATTTTCTAATAACTACTGATGAGATTCCTTTGCCAAAGCGTGCAATGTTTTGTACTTGTGTTTTTTCATGGAACAATTTACATATCTTCTGTAACATCAAATCCGAATATTTTATTATTGTAACACAGTGGTGCAAAGCTTTCTAGTAGAAAATCTGAAGAAAAACTATCCTCTTTGTGTCTGCATTTTAATAGCTGAATGGGTTAAGGCATCAACTTTTCAGTTGGGTTTTTTTTTTGCATAATGACCATTGATCTGACATAATGTCCCTCCAAAGATACAACTGTAATTTCTGTTGGCCAGAAATTACACAGTGAAATTCAAAACACTTCTTAAAATATGTTTATTTTATGAGAGTCTTTGAATTTCCTCCAACATGTTGACCATACGAGGGCTTTATTTTTAACTTCAGTTTCCCTATTTAAAAAAAAATATCTGAAATCTTGTCAACATTCACCTTTTCTATTTTCAGAGACAATCCAAAAGGCTTTCACCACTCTATGTGTATATTGGATTTGGTACTTTACTACGGGCACCCAGAAGGAACTCTGTTTCCTTTAGATCTGCTCAGTTTTAACCAGGAAAAACCCCCAAAAATAAAGAATAACATTTTCAGCTTTCATGCTAGAAAACTATGCATGAACAAACCTCAAAGATACACATTTCTCTGCAAATGCTCTTGCTAAGCAATGATTGCTGGTGGTTTTTTTTCATAAACTTTTGAAATTTGTATTTTTTTAAATAACATATGCACTTCAGATTGCATTTTAAACATTAACAACAATTCCAAAGTGTACATCGTCTAGCACTATATTTTTTACCAAAGGGAAATGTTTCTGATGTGTGATTTAATTGATGATTTCAGTTCTTAAATATTGTGTCATATGTCAAAGCAAATAGATTTTTAAAGTTTTCTTCAATCTAGGAGAAAAAAAAGAGTGAAACTGTGGACATTTCAGTAATAGCTCAGATCACTAAGTTATGTTAAAATATTTGCTTTTTAGTCATATCGTCTGCATGAAAAAAAAAAAAAAAAAAGAAAAGAACAGCTCCCTAGAACAAAACTGCAGGCCAAGATGCAATCTGAGTCATCATTTGAGCACGCAATCTCCCCTCATGAAAACCTCTATCAGGATCATGAATTAGTAAAACCAGAATCAGAATTTAATGCGTCTGTAGTTTGCTGGATAAAAGTTAAAATCTAGAATTCTTTCATTTGCAAATGATTGTATTTGCATAACCATTTTCTACCTTTCCGCCACAAAGTTTACATGCATTTTCCGACAGGTCCTTGCTATCGTGTAGTAAGTATT